ATTAAAAGAAATAAAACAATAACAACAACATAAAATTATATTGCAACAATAAAAATAATAACAATAAGAGAGAAGGGCAAATAAATAAAGCCGTCAAAGCGAACTGTGAAATTGTGCAAAATAAATGCGGCGAAAGCGGCGCAGAATACTTGAGCACGTAATGACATTGAAACACGCGCACACACACACGCACAGGCACAGGTGGCTATTTATAGCAGCAGCCGCGCGCACAAAGGTGCATTCAAGAGCGCAAATAACACACTTGTATTTATATAATTTTCATAATTCTTTCCTTCCAGCGAACGAGTGCAGTTGCGCATAAAGCTCGCTTTGTTGTTTCCTCTCTTCGGTGAGGCAGGCATGTTTTGCGCTGTATATTTGGTGACTGCCGAAGTAAAGTGATCCACTACGAACACATATGCACACGCAACCTAACCGAAAGCTGCCGAAATGCGATTGAGATTAGTTAAGGAACTAGTTCAGAACTGCTCCGAAATGCGTCACAGGAGTCTAGGAGTCCAAAATCGACTGCAGTGAAATCAGTGATGAAACCTTGAAATATTAAGGCTCAAAAGCTGCTTTTGACAACAACAAACATACCTAAAATTCATAATTTTACTTTCTAACTCCGAAGCAGCATAAACAGTTATGGCAAGTAGGTTCCACTCTTGACTATCATGACTGATCTATATGAGAAGCCACATTCCAGAGACTCAGTCGGGTTTAAGTAACTAGAACGGACCGGGTCCGGTTAATGCCAACTCGGTCAGTTTACTGTCATGCTTTTTTACCGCTACAACACTGTTCTACGCAATGTCTTTGGAGCCGTCCGACGTACAAATGTATCCGCTAACAAGAGGCCAGCACCTTCGATTCGACACTCAAGGCTCGACAACTGAAGCAAGGATACCAAAGCACCCAAGGGAAGAAACAAGTTCATAGGAACCTGTCTGCCCTTGGCATGTACAGTAGTGTGAAATCGCAAAGGATAGAAGTTTTGCGTTCTCGGCCATATCCGAAATATATCGCAGTTGGTCAGAGTATATCAGAGATCTCTCTCAAATAAGTTCGACGAACTTACTGATAAACTTGTTGAGAATTCTTTCTTAGAAGGCTCGTGAGTATTAGTATTGGTTAGCTTCACAAAAACCCCCGAATGTTTACGAAATTTAAATAATCTGAAGGTGGAGACAATTTCACGCGACGAGTTTTCAATTCGGAAGTACATAAGTGAACCTTCAGGCTCATGAATTGCTTTTAGAGAGCCGAAGGGTGTTAGAATAGAACTCTTTTTATATAAGTATCTTAAAACTTATGCATTCGCCAATCCAAATTTGGAACCAACGTAAGCTGCCATCCACTGAATGCCCAGTCAGTGTTGCCATTTTACCTTCAGTCGTAGGCACCTTGAGTAATAAATAACGACTGGTTGTATGATTTCTTAATTGCTTTGCTTGCTGGCGGCCAGCAGTCACTTATACTCACGCAAAGAGCAGAACCACACACACACACACACACTCAGGCATACAAACTAAATATGTGTGTGTGTGTGTGGCCACTCATGAACTTCGCTAAGCAAACACGCTTGTGTTCAAGTGCAAGTCCGCCGAGCGCACTGACATTGAACTCCGTTATATTGTTGTTGCAGTTTACTCTGGCTCACAAGCATTTACTTTTTGCTATTTTTCACAAAAATATTTGTGTTAAAATAACATTTTCGCATGAATAATTCTTGAAGAGATTTTATTCTCCTTTTTGCGTGTTTCAATTTAGTTTTAGTCAAGCTGTGGAACGACGCAAGCATACCCTGAGTGAACTATATTAATGTTTAGTTTTATTTTTAGCTTAAAATCATGTAGGAAACATATGAAAGTGTTGGAATATTCTTTTAAGAACCTGCTGAAGGACTCACTCTTTGCATGCCTTTTATAATATTAAATTACCTAACCAAGATTTTGGGCAAGTCTATAAAGTATATCGAAAATAATGATTTCATGATTGAACCAATCCTACTTTCAAAGTAGGCGCCTTTTATAGCCTTGAGAGCCGAGGGCATGCTGTTTGGATCCCCTTTCATCGGCCTTTTCAGGCAAGGAAACAAAAAAGTCCGGGGGTAGGCGGTTGCGGAAGCGTTGGGATGCCGGCCTTGGAAAGGTACATAGCTGTTTACAAGAAAGGTGGGCTGAGCCGGGCGATATCTTGACGGACACGGTTGACCCTTCGCTTGTGTCTCGTGAGCACTTCTCCGTAAAACTTGCCATTGACGGTTTATCCAGAAGGAACAAATTCATGGCGGACAATGCCTTTGATGCCAAAAAAGATAATGAGTATCATTTTCACTTCGGATTTGCTCATTCTTCCCTTTTTGGGCAAGCAGACGTTGGCATGTCCCACTCCAGTCGCTCGTTCGTTGGCTAGGAACGCCCTCAGTCCTACTACTTTACGGACAAATCCTGTACATGTGAACGGCCAGAAACACAATCAAGCTGTAGGAATTTTGTAAAAACGGGACGCCATCGTTTGTTATACCCTGAAGACCCGATTGAGTCATGTGAACTGGTCCATTACTTAAAGTTGTCGTACAAACTGGTCGATCAAAAGCAAGATGAAGATCTTATTTATCCCTTTATGCTGTAAGAGTGCTCCCGTGAGCAACCGAGGTTAACACATTTTTTATGTTTTCAGTTGGGGTCGGCAAATATGGCAACCCTCTTTCTCCGACACCCTCAACTGTCTAAGCTGTTAATAATAAGTTGCAAATACCAATCGGAGAATTCCGAGAAATAAAGAAGTATTTCCATAGCAAATTCAGTATGTTCCACGTTATTCATTCAATATATACACATACATATATGTGTTGTTGTGATTGTTGTTAATTTGTCGACCTGCTGCGCATAAATTTAGCACAATTGCGACTCGCAGCTCATAGAATTCGCCGCACACAAACACAGCGCTCTTCATACGGCGCGCTCATTCTTTGCACTTGTGTATTATGTTTGTGTGTTTGTGTGTGTGTGTCTGGCAAAATAAATATGGAACGATTCAGCGATAATTGAATGAGTGTATAAAAATAATCTCGGAAACATAAATTTTGATTTATTGCGACACTGCGAAAGACTGGCACAAGCGATGAATCAATTGTGTGCGCATAAAAGCGCTTACAAGGGACCGGGGGAGGTGCGAATACGGCATGCTTGGAGTTGAAAATAAAACGGTTTTGTAATAGGGGAGCACAACTGCTGTGATACAAGCGATTTTAATACCAGTTTTGTGTAGAAATTCTGCAAAATTTGAAAACATGAGACAAGAATGAGATCTAGACCGCATCGATCGCTTCAAACGACTTCCAGTCTTCATCCTTACCGCTACGCTCTAACGGTGGACTACCGACACGGTGGGCCACTCTTCAGAGTGAGTGCCATAGGGCCATCGAAAGTTTCAGCAGGGCAATCCTTCCATGTTTAGAGCTCCTTTGAGCACCTATATTAAGTAAGCATAAAATACAGCGCTTAAGATCTTAGTAGAGCAAAAATTTGGGCATACACAGTTTATTACTAGATATTTCTTCGACTTCGAATATTTGCACAAAAAGATTACAAACCCCAGTTTTGGGTCTTAAACGAACTGAGATAGAACCTTCCCAACAGAGTGAGTTGAGCGTAGTCGTGATTTGCCATTCAAGGAAAAACTGAATCGCCTTCTTCTAGCAACGGCTTCTGTGCTTTTTGTGACAACTGCTATATTAAGCCTTAATCGAGATCACAAAAACTTAATATTCAAGAGCTAAAGTTCGCTGCCTAGGATTCCACGACATCGACTCAAGCTCGTATGCTCTGTTGTTATGGCACAAATGCCTTTATTTTACATTGGTAAAGTTTCTAGAAATGCGACCTCATTTTCGAAGTTCATGAATATTCGAAAGTCCCGCTAAACACCTCGGCAAAATAAATAGCTTTTGCTTTTGTCTTATTTTTGTACTGAAAAATTCGAACGAGTTGTTATTGCTGCGTAGCAAAGATTAAAGGTGAAGGCAGTTTGTGGGCTTGCGAAGCTAAACGACTACGTCGCACTACGGCGATAATCCAAAATGGACAATAATGCGTAAATATGTTAGTATGTATGAGCGTGAATATACCTAGAACAGGCTGTGGTGTGAACAATGAGTTTTCATTCATAGAAAATGCTCAACAAACGGGCGAACTGTAACCTATGCGCAGAGCCGCAGCCGGACTGCAAACCAGGCGAGCAAAAGTAAAAATAAAATACAATGAAATAAATATTATTGCAGCCAAATAGGAAATACTAATTTACATATATTTATACATTCCATACATATATACAAACATGTATATATATAAACAATATTTACAGCAGCGAATGCGCACGAGTGGAGCATCAATACATTATCGAAAGCGAAAGAGTGGCATAACGCAATAAAAACGAGAATTTATTGCAAATATTTCTAGAAGAATTCAAAAATAAACATGCAGTACACAAGTATGTGTGTGGAAGAGCGACGCAACGCAAATTCCAAATCTACAGTATTGATATGGCGTTGGCAAACAAAACGGCACGATAACCTCTGACCCCGGCCGAATCGGCATATGCAACCGTGTATGTGTAAGCGATACGATTGTGCGGCATAAAAGGCAAAATAAATACATGCAAATCAATATAAATGCAAATCAGCGAGACAACGGAGTGAAAGATGAAAATGAAACCGAGCAAAAGCGTAGAAAAACATATAAAAAATAAAAATAATAATAAAAAAGAAAATAAGTTTAATAAAGAAAATATTAAAAAATACAGAAAATAGTATGTGAAATAATACTACAACAACAAGTGCAAGTTCAGCACAAAAGCTGCTGCAAACAATTCCAAATTGATAAGCCGCCGAACGATAGTGTGGGCGAGCGCATGCTAGCAGCACTATCACGCTTAGTTGCAGAGCTACAATTGCTCCCGATAAGCAGCATTTAGTATATGTCAGTTGCGCGCTCTCCTTCCACGCGTTCTTTTTTTCAAGCGCTTCGAGCATGGCTTGAGGCACGTCGGCACTTGCAGGCTCAGCTCAGTTCTCAATTTAGTTTCGACATGTTGTGTTCACGACAAATCGCGTTTTTAAAAAGTTTCTTGCTTTTAACCGGCACCTTGGTGTTGTTGCTGCTGTATAGCAGCACCACTGAGGCATACTCGGGTCTAATAGCGGCCGACCCAGGTGTGTGGAAAATAAATATTGCAAAATGTCAAAGTTCAAGCAGCAAAAAACAAGTCAAAGAAAACTGAAAAAATATATATACATATATACATTTATAATGGAAAATAAAAACAATGCAAAAAGAAATTATTCAAAAATATTTTTCGCAGTGTTTGTGCATAATATATTTTTTAGCAAATTGTTTTCATTGCTCAACCCTTTCTTGTTAGATAACCCGGGCAAATGTATTTATCGCGGCGATGAGCTGAAGCTTGGCGTGAATCTGGGTATAGCGCCGTGTCAGCGCCTCACTTGCAATGAGGACGGCTCAATATTTATTGAGGGGTAAGTTCGCAAGTTTATTGAGCCAATTTTGCTTAAAATTAAGTTCGCGTTACAGCCATTAGTAATTAAGCGGCAGTTAAGAAACAAAAAAAATTAAATAAATTGAAAAACAAAATGTGTTTTAAATAAAATATAAATCTAATAGAAAGAAAAATACTTGAAAAAAAAAATTAGTTGAAAAAAAAATTAATTGAAATAATATAAATAAATTGAAAAAAATTAAAATAAAATAAAATATAAAAAAATTAAAAAAATACAAATTTTTTGAAAAAATAAAAATAATTATTTAAAAAATTGTAAAAAATAAAGAAAAAATCATCACTACAATTCTATGTCTGATTTACATCCCGCTGGAGGTAAGCATGCAAGTTCGTTTAGAAACTATTCAAACGACGAAAACCCTAAAATACCTAGCAATAACACCGGAGGCCCACTTGCAAGTGAAAGGAAATTGCTTATTGACACAAGACAGTCAGTGCTATTAGAGTCGCCTCAGTATACAGCACTGTATTAGAATCCGCAGTGCTAGTGATAAGCGGCGTCATCCCAATAGACTCGCAAAGGAGAGAAGACAACTCTGGCTATGGAAGAAAGACGGAATGGTAATACACATGGCCACAAGACAACAGGCGAGGAAGCAAACTTTTGAACTCTGGCAAGATCTGTAGACAAGGGAGAGCAAAGGAAGATGGACCACCAAACTGTAGAAAACACGCCGAGATAAACTACTACATAACACAGATGCTGTCCGGTCATCCTCATCATATTTCCGAAAACAGGTGTTTTATGGGAAAAACAGAAAGCCCAGACTTCCCGATGCAGCGATGATGCAGCCCATACCTTTTTCTAGTGCCACCGATGGAAAGAAGTACGAGGAACTAAGTACGGAAAATATTTTAGAAAAAATGATAGCTGGCAGCGAAAACTGGGAAATAATTGCCGGGTACGTGGAACATGTTCTATGCTCTAAAAAGAGAGACATGATGCTGGCTACAAAATCGTAGGCATCCCTGGACGCAGGGAGAGTAGAAATTGACCTGTAATGGGTTCATCTTGGAAACCTTGTCCTGAAGTAATGCGAAAGCGGTCTCGGTATAGGGAAAAAAATCCATTATAGAAGGGGGGAGTGTTTTAGTGTTTAGTTAAACCCTCTTTACGACAAAAAAAAAAAAAAAAAAATATATGCTATAGTGGTCCGATCTGAACCATTTTTTCAGAGAAAAATTGTCTCCTCCAAATTTTGTGTAGATATCTCGTCCAATGAAAAAGTTTTCCACGAACACTTCCGGCCAATGAGCAGTTTCGTAGGGAGTATGTGTGTAAAAATTTAGATCGATATCTCAAGAGCTCAGAGACTAGTTCGCGTATATAAAGACTTCTTAACCATTTTGATTCATACAATTTTCTCAAAGTATTTACAATTTTTTGATTATAAGTAATAGTTTGTCTACACATTTTTTTTTTGTTGAATTTTCTCATCTTTTATGACGTCATTGGTACGCTTGAGTCATATACGCAATTTAATGGACTGCCTTTGGCTATGAAGTCATGCTATAAACCCTTAATTGCTGGAATATTTTGCAGAAAATTTTTGAACAGATTTTCTTGGCAAATGAACGGCAATGAGTGTATATTTATAGAGATATACACTTATTTATGTATATGCATGTGTATATGTATATGCACATATGTGCACTAGAAAGTGAGAAAGTGCACTTATCACTAATGAAATTAATTAATTGAGTCAATTAAACACACAGGCGACAGACAACTCGATTATTTATTGCGGCTTTTCCGCTAACTTTAAATTTTTCTTTGCCGCACATAACCACTTAAAAAAATATATGTATATAAATGCGCATTTGCATATAAGTAAATACTTTAGCGCTGCAATAAAGCCGCAGAGCCATTAATCTAATTGTCGTTTCACATTTCTTTGCATTCGTTGCAGTTGCGGCCGGTTACGCATCGAGAACTGCAACAACGGCGAGCGCATACACATGGATAAACCGTTTCCGGAATGCTGCAAGCTGCGCTACAAGTGCAAGAAGCCCGACGGCTCGCCGTACTACATTGAGCGCGATGCCTTCGGCAGCGATCAGCAGAACAAGCTGAAGCGCTGACTGGAGAGCAGCAGCGCGCGCACGAGAGAGAGCGAACGAGAGGGAGAGCAGGAGGGTGTCGATCAATGATCTTTCGGCGTGAGTGGGTGAGACGTGTCGGTGCGCTGAGCGCTTACTAGCGAGATATGCCCTAGGGTTGCGGTTTCGGCTGAACGTTGGAGGTCGTTTGTGCTGATAAGGCTTTCTACGGTTCATTTATGTCGTCTTTCTAAGTTAGTTGTATAGATACTATTTACATAATCTTAGTACGTAAATATTTTTGTTTGGATTTAATGTGTTATTTTGTATTTTTCGCTTAGATTTAGAAATAAACAGAAGTATATTTATTATCAAGAACAAAGTTGGCGAGCATATGGGGGGCAAGTACCACGTAAACAACTGTGCTCATTACTAATCTGTAGTTAGATGTGTTCGAAAAGATCTGAATATACATTAAGTATAGAAGGAAAACCGCATTTGTGACAGTTCTTTGAGGGAGACGCAGTATTGATGTGATAGAAGGATGTTTGATGCTGGATAGGCATCATCACTGAGTGGCAGTTTTTAAAGTTTTTAGAAAAATTTTTGGCACCGCAGCACTTGTTCGCCATCAAAAATAAGTCGCAGTTTCACGTTATTGCTTTTTTCATCTGGATCATGGAGCCGCCAAGTCGAAGTCTGGCGGTTCCTTCTCTGCCCTATATACCGACGAGGGGGCTTAAGGTGGGAAGAAGCCGTTAGAGGGGAGGGGCAGTAATCTTCTATACGGATGGGTCAAAGCTTGGTTGAGGGGCTTACTGTCGGGAGCTCTCTATCAACTCCAGTTTCAGACTTCCTTACTATTGCAGTGCCTTCCAGGCTGAGGTTGCAGCCATTGAGGTAGCAGCAGATTTGCTACTCCGGAGTGCGTTCTCCTCTAGAAAAGTAACCATTCACTCAGATAGCAGAGCAGTGATACTCACTTTGAACTCACTACTTGGAACTCATTTACAGTGCGTTCAGAGTTGGTCGAGTGTCTTTGTGGTAAGACAGGTATGGGTGTCGGGCTATAGCGGAATAACAGGTAATGGGAAAGCATCTGAGCTAGCAAGAAAAGGCACACTAGAATCATTATCGTTAGAATGGGAACGTGTCGGTGGTCCCGCATCCTCTTGTGTTCTACTGATAGAGAGCTGGGCCACTATCGGTACTTGCGCAGGCGCAAAAGCCTTTTGGCGCAAGATTAACCGGATTTAGCGATCTCTTTGCCCTTAGTAAGGTTAGCCTCTCCCTAGTTGTGGGCTTTTAACAGTGCATTGCTTTATTCACGTACATACTTTACGATTGGGAATCTTACCAGACGCCATCTGCCGAAGTTGTTTAGAAGAAGTTGCGGTAGAAACAAGTTAGCACTTCCTTCCTTATTTCTTGACTGTCCCGCGTTTGGGAAGCTTAAGCCCCAGCGGCAGCTCGAATGTATGACAGCGTGCCTTTGTTTATAAAATATTTCGCATTGTAATTATATAATAAGTTAGTTTTGACTAAGAACAACCTGCGGCACCTCAAAGTAACAGCGTACAGAAGACGGCTTATTTATATCCAATGTCAATAAGCAAGCAATTTGTTGCTGTTAATATTGTATATGCAAGTAGCGAGCGTTATGCCTGGATGCTGACCCATGCGCATTCCGGCGCAGCATAAAAGACGAAATTACACGGTGCAGCGAGGCGTATGAGCAACATTGCCGCTTAATTAAATTTATGCAAAATATGAGACAACACAGGAGCGAATCAACGCTGTCATGCAGCAACAGAAAGCCATAACAAATATGGGTGTGTGTGTGTGATTATAGTTTTATGCGCTTCAGCTGCAGTGCCGTGCGCCGCTGTGCGTTTGCCAGCGTAATGAAGCGCATCAAATGAGTTGGCGCATTGTCTTCGCTGATGAGGCCATAAAAGCCTACCTCCGTAGCAAGTGAGGCAATTTCGTTGTGTAATTCAAAAACATTTTTTTTTGTTATTTTTTTAATTGTTGCGCGCGGACTTCTCGGCTATAAACAGTGTCAGCAATGAAGGCTGACAGGCAATAAAACAGGCTGACAGCTAAATGCACGAAGAGTTGGCCAATTATGCGAAGAATAATCGTGGCCAGCACTGAGAGCGGGTGAGCGGAGTGTAAGGAGAGCAAGAAAGTGGGTGCGACTGTATGGACATGGTTGGACGAGTTGTTTGCGGTTGAAGGCAAGTGGAATGCCGAGAATTCGCAAAGAAGTTGTGGTGAGAATTGCGTCAGCCACAAATAATTGCTATCAAGCAGTGCTGAGCTGTGCGGTAAGTAAGAATAAAACCAGGACATGTAGATAGTTCCTGTAACATGCTTATGGAAACGCTACTGCACGGGATACGCGGTAAGAGGCCAACTTTTCGTGGGCGGCATGCAAAATAATACTTCCAGCGTTGAGTGAATTAAAGAAGCCCGCAAAGTTTGCATGTCGCGTGGTAAGGGTAGAAATAGTTTAGCGCTAGGCTGGCCGTAAACAATTCAAAGTAGACTTTCGATGAAGCAAGTTTATTAAAAGTACACGTTGATTGGCATCTTTTAATTGTGAAAGTTGGTAAGATCCGAAAACTTGTGCTGATTCGTTAAGATTAACCAAGGTTGTGGGCAACGTCAATGCTGCGTGAGCTCATCTACGCAGTAATAAAATAACAAAACAATTTCGTAATTTAAAAATACAAAAATGGTGTTCAAATGAGAAATATTGCGTAGCCGAAAAAGTCCTTTCGTATTTTGTCAGTAGCTTTTGTCGTTGCAGTCGTATATTACCAGTGCAACCACGCACATTGTGTCATGGCATATAGTGTTGAAATGGTGACATTCTAAGCTTCATTTAACAAAAAAAAAAAAAAATTGGGGAAAATGAAAAAAAAAACAATTACAGCTGCCCAAAAATGAGTATAAAAAAAATAAGTTGTAGTTTGATAAGAAATTCGAAAAGGCTTTTTCGGCTACTCAGAGGCCGCTTCTTAGTCGATCAAAGCGAAAAACCGCTTAAATGCTCGAAATGCTTGCGAAACAGAAAGAGCCCGACAATGTCAATGCACTTTTCTCCCAAACGCTCTGCTTACGCCCACATATTTTGCTGACTAAATGCACAGTATTTTTAATACTTCATGCAGAGTCAGCATAATTCGTGCAAAAGTTAAATAAATTCAACGTTGAATGTAAGAAAAATGTATGCAAATGTAAAAGAAATGCGCATAAACAACTGCAATTTTTCGTTGATTTTATGCAATAAATTAAATTGCAGCGAAATGTCACGCATACGCCATGGTGGGTCAGCGCACAGACAACTAGCAGACCAAGGCAGGAGGAGAAACGAGATAGCGTGAGAAAAAATATATAAATGAGATGAGAGCACAGAGGAAGAGCTTTGGCAGGGAAGGCAAAGCGAGTGGGATGACGAGCGGGAGAAAAAAAAGGATTTTACGCTGACTGCAGCGCCTGGAAAAAATGTAGTTAAAATTGAGACAAGTGAAGGATGCGAGTGCCAAGTGCGGCCATTAGTGCGACGGGAGGCGGGGGTATGACACAAAAAAAGCTAGATTTAAGGCGGTGGATAAAAAAATCGCTTATAAAAGCTGGCGTGATTGTAAAGAAATGCGGAAAAACATTTTTATTTGTCATAAGATAAATACGAAAGCACAAAGTGGGACAACAACAAGCAAGTATAGTTGAGTTTTGAGACTTTTTGATGCACGCCTGCGTCCACAAACGCTTAATAATATGGCCAACACGCCCGAAGCGCATATGTTATACAAACACATACATCCAGACAAACACACTCGTGAAGCATGGGGAACGCAACGCGAGCAGGCACGTGGAGTTACTCAATATATTAGCACCCTTTTCGCCACCAACGCCGCTATCTGCCACATCTACGCTACATTCCCACTACCAGCACCACTACTGACACACCTTCAAATGTGTGTATATTATATTACAGCCATTAATTTTGGGCGCTGCTGAAGCAAGCAGGCGGAGACAATTTTATATTTGTCCAAAAATTAAATAGGAAAAAAATTAGTAGTTTGGAACTAGTGTTTTAAGGTCTAGTTCGAGAGTAGTTTAATTCAAAATTAGTTTAAAACTAGTAACTTAAGAACCAGTTCGAAAGTAGCTTAAGTCAAAAATTATAAAACGTTTTAGGGTAAAAAGCTTTTCCTCGCTACTTGTTCTTCTTTAAGGCGCTCAGATGCATTACATTATAAACGTTTAATAAAATACTACTTTATAATAAATTTTACCTTCAAGGCTTTCGAATTAATAGTTTAAGAAAATTTTCGAAGCATTTACAGTTTTCGAAACTTCGTCCAAATAGTTTCCGCAATCTCGAAATTTTTTTTTTCTCACAGTAAAAGTTTTCGAAAATTCCTATGCTAACCTCACTTTTTAAATAGCTGAAGTGGATATCTTTAAACTGTCGAAGTAATCCCAGGTATGGAAGCTTTGTTGTAATGAAATTTTTCGACAATTCGGAAGATAGCTTTTTGAAATAATTTTTATTTTCGAACCTGTAATGAAATTTTTCAAAAATTTTTATGCTAATCCCAAACGAAATATCGAAAAAAATCCTTGAAAATAGTTGGAATTGTGATAAGTCCGAAATTGGAAAAGTATTTAAATAATTGGTCTGAATTTTGCAGTATTTCATACACGAGCCACTTTCTCACTCGTTCCCATACAATAATACCCAAAGCAGAAGCGAAAACCGCCTGCAAAATGCACTAGCGCCAAACTGAATTTGCCAGCACATGAACCCATGAAGTGATTTCAGCAATATTTTCACTCAACTAGCATTGCGTATACATATGCACATATGTATATGTATGGCTGTGGAAAGTTGTCTGCGCGTGTGTGCACTAGGTCCTTGCGGTAATTTTTCAAAATATCCAACGAAGCAATGGTGCAGCCAAATAGTCAAATAGCCAAGTGTGGAATGAAATTAGTTTTTTTTGGCTAGGGTTTCGCCTGGCAATCGATAAGTGGCTTAAGCATGGGTATTATCAGGAATTTGCACAGCAATAAAAATGCAAATGCTGTGTATGTATTTACGAAGGAGTGAACTATCAGCGCAAGGGGTCTGCATTGCTGGTAAATATGTAGAGGAGTCATTTTAATAAATTTTTCTCCGCATCTCCGCATTTGACAGTTGACCCAATTTGCACACCTTTGCGAAGCGCACTGGGTTTAGGTGTGGTCTCTACCGTTGCAGAGTTGTACTTTTTACAATATTTAGGTTTCGGTTTGAGCACATAATTTTTTGTGGATATTCATTACATTTTCATTTTATTTTTAGATTTTTTTCAAGTTTTTCACTCACCTTTTTGCAGTAGTCCAGTAAGTCCATTTTGTCTCGCAAGCATGTGGCTCCCGATGTCTTCTTATTCAAGTCCGTTACCCAGCGTCCCTCTTCCGATAGGTATTGCGGTTGGAATACTTGGCCAGCTTCGCAGAGCACCGCGATTTGTGGCTCCCAACGCGGTGAGGCGGCCTGCAACACACAAGAAAAAGTGAAAAAATTTATTATTAAAAAATAAAATATATTTTTAGTGTAAAAATATGCAAAGAACAAATTTTTCATTTTTAAAAATTAGGGAAAAAAATTATAAATTTAACTTTATATAACTATTTTTTGCTGTTTTTACAACTTTCACTTTGATATGGCTGACTGCGCTACTCTAACTACAAAAAAGTTGTCGAAGAAAATAGCTTTGCTTTAAACTTTAATTTTCTTTATTCCCACTTTCATTTATTGCCATTTCCCTGCTTTCCCCGCCATTTTGCGGTGCATTCACGCTCCAATTCGAAATCAACATCAATCATACGCCCCGTTGTCCGCTCGAGTCCGCCGGCGCTCGAGTGCCGTGCCATGTCGCCGCACATTTGTCGCACACTTTAGCAGAAAAAGCTAATTTTTAATGCTCACTTTAATAAGCAGAAAAGTCAATTTGGGAACGTGATAACCTAATTTCACATGACCAGCAGCGGCAATTTGCCATTAGCCAGTTAGCCTCCTTAGTGCTCACTTCACTTTGAAAATATTACCTCTGCTGGTTGAGTGGTTTGTGGCTTTCAATTTTAGACGTTACATTTTTTCTGGGGTCATCAGTTTTAAATTTTAATATGAAAGTGGAAAAAGTAAAGTTTCAAAAATTTCGAAGATAACTTCGAAAGTGATGTTTATTTTCGAACACTCTTTTTTGGTTGTCATCAGGTTGAAACTTTAATATGAAAGTGGAAAAGGTAAAGCTTCAAAATTTTCGAAGATAACTTCAAAAGTGATGTTTATTTTCGAAAACTCTTTTTTGGTTGTCATCAGTTTTAAATTTTAATGTGAAAGTAGAAAAAGTAAAGATTCAATATTTTCGATTATAACTTCTTAAGTGATGCTTTTTTTCGAACGCCATAACGTTTTTCTAAAAGAAAGTTCGATGTTTATTTCGAATTTCGTAGTGTTAAAAATGTATGCCTTCGAAAATAGTTCGAATCTTGAAAAGGAACAGTTCTAAAATATCCTTTTAATAACATTCAGTCAACTCAACCATATTTTGGTAAAATCGAGGCATTGTTTTGAAATATTTTATTAAAAAAAATAAAGAAATTATTTTTTTTACTTATGTATTTCTCCATAAATATGAAATTTTTTTAGATGCCATCCTTATAAATACCATTCAAAATCTGGTATTTAAATGCAAACCGATTTTTTTTTTTTTTTTGTAGGAACATCGTTTTCCACTTTGACTAGTTGCGCCGCACTCACTTAATCTAAATCAGAAAAATATGTGAAATATTCATCACCGAAGGCATAATCGAATATAAATAGCCGAATCAGTGAACCTCAAAAAGGTTAATGCAAACACGCAAAGCCTCGCAAAAAATATTTGTCAAATAGAAAAAAAGCGAAAAATTGCACGCTCTGACAGTCACCCACTCGCTTTGTTGTTGCTTATTTTTACGCATGCAATTCACTTGCGTAATGTTTGTAAGCACTTCGGCAAGCGTCGTCATGTAGTACACATGAGCACACACGTGGACACGCGCTTTGGCGCAGAGCGTGTGATTGATGACCGTTTAATTGTCGGAAAAACAAAAGCAAAATGAAAAAGTAAAATTCGAAATCACAGAATAAAAAGCTGCCTGGAAAGAAGTGAGGGAGAGATCAAATTTGAGTTGTAGACAGGCGAGATTGAGAGGCATAACGAGACAGAGAGAGAAAAATCACAGTTTACTGAATTGAAAATATCGACAATACCACTGATTTTATGCTTCAAGTATGGGTTTAGTTAGTAACTCGAGTCCAAATTATAATCCCCAGTACCAAGATGACCATGGAGACCCAACACGTTAAATAAACACTCTTTGACTAAGTCTGAGCATACATTTTGCAAAAGCTCACCTCCCTGAAGGAAGCTACTCTCAGAAGCACTAATTCTACTGTTTCCTCAGTGGTAATCACGTCTGTCTGAGAAACGCCACAATAGTGCGGTAACCTAAAGCTAAAGATTTGAAGAAGAGCTCCTTACAGAAGGCTTCCTTCCAACTTTCCCATTTTCGCTTCGACCCTTCCGTGAAAAGGCTCTCTGCGTCTATTCTCCAGCAACTTCTCCCAGTCCACATATCACTTGTGGGAATGTGAGCGTAGAAACAGTCGCCAGGAGTAGTAGTCAAGTCAAAGTTTACAGGAATGCAATTGCAGGAGGAGAGAATTTCAGCGTAACCTGTTTGGATTCTTACCAGTCCCCCCGAGTAGACCATAGAACATTATTGAATTAACTGGTTTCGTAGAGCCGAAACACAATCCTTAAAGCTTCTCTAATGCGTACCTCAGGCTTGCAAAAGCAGCATAATGGCAGAGAAAGTGCCTGACCTCAACTTATAGTTAGCGTCCGAGAAGATTTGTAGCTTTACCGCGGGAATAACTTTGTAACATTAGCCTAAACTCTGCAGACGTCTTTATAATTATGTTTTGATCTTTTTTAGCTGTCTGTCATTTGACCTAATAATTTAAGTCTTCCGTCCTCGTCCTCGTCATCGTCTTCCCTTTTCTCTAAAATAGTTTCCCTTACAGCTAACCGGTCTTCGCTCATTAGTTCCACTTCAATGCTGTATAAGTAATTCTTTAGCTGAGTTCGAGGCTTATTTGTTTTTAATTTTTGCTGTTGTTGTTGCTGTCTATTATACTCGAGCGGCGTGTCCATTTGCATTGTTAATTTGGCCGCATTGTCATACGCAATGCTAATGTGCATTTCTATTAAACAATTAAATAAACATAAAGAAGTATAGTATGTTCATGCATGTATGTGTGTGAGTGTTTTAGCATGTTTCGTTGTTGCATTTGGAGCATATGTTTTTTAAAAGCGAATAAACGAATACCGCTATTATTTTGTTTATTGTTTTGATGAGTTTTAGTTTAGTTGCTTTTTTGTTGTTATTGCTGTTGTTGCACTGCGTATGTGTGTGGCCTTGTAACAGTTTTTGCTCATGAGGAAATTGTTGTTTACTACAAATTTCATGCGTTGCCATTGTGTGGCCATTCAGAATGCTAAGCGTGAAATAGGCTCACACACACAGACACACTCACACACCGAAAAGTATCTGAGTGGGTTGGGAAAGCGCTGAAAAATAGTACGGAAGACAAATAGAAGACAACAAAACCTTACAATATGACAATTAGAATAAAGAAAACAAAGGAAAATTGCTTGGAAATTCTAATTGGGCAAAACTACGTATGAAAAGGATGGCTTAATATAATTGCGAATGGACTTAATGACACGCATAGAATTCCAAAAGTATACTTCTCAGCAGTAGAACGCATTTTCATTCACTTGGCTGCGCTTTGTTGCCAAAATTCTTTCGAGGGGAGTACAGAAAGCCAAATGAGAGCTGGGGAGAGGACCCAGTGGCGGGATCTTGAATGCAAGAAATATTTTTTGGTCTGTCTATATTGTCTGCCTGTCTATATATGTGCGAACTAATGCCTCCGTTTTTTGGAATATCGATCTGACATCGGGTGTATAACCCGTTATTTTCTTCCTAAGAAGCTGCTCATTTCTTGGAACTGCCAATATCGGTTCATTATAGCTGGCATACAAACTGAACGATCGGAATCATCAGACAACTTTTCCATTTGACGTTGCGGAGAAATTGTTTAGATTGAATAACCATAGCATTAATCTGCCTTACGAACTGACCCATCAAAGCTCTTGTGAGAAAACCTTGGTGCTTGTGAAGAGAATTATAGTTTCGGCTCAAGCGAAGTTGACATTTTTTTGCAGCATCCTTGCATGTTTCGTATTACCTCTCACTGTAAGGCGACTGTTATTGTTGTTATTATTATTAATTAGTCCTAATTACATTAAAATTTGCGTCACTGTTTTCGCTCATTTACACCGAGTTGTTGTCGCACGAAGGATGCCCTCTATTATTTACACACGCGCAAGCGCCCAGCAAACGTTGTCAAGTGCACCCAACTAAGCAACCCTCCATTTGGTGCTTCACACACTTCGCTTGGTGCCGTCGGCCCACGCAGCACCTGCATCATCCTTATTGTGTCCACACTTATTATTGTTTGTTTTGTTTTTTAGTTTGCAGCTGCTTAAGCGCGTTTTTTGTTGTTGTCGCGATTACACTGTTGCGGTTAAATAAAGCAGCTAGAATATGCAACAATAGATTTTTTTGATTTTTCTGTCAATTGTTTTGGTAACACTAACCGAATTTGCCTGCAGCCGCGTACAGCAACACCAATAAGTCAAACAATCAGTGACATTGAGCATGGAAATTTGCTTTTGAGTTTGCTGCCAATTATTTAACACTATTTTGGCATGGAAAAAATTACTTTTTCCACATTAAAATTGCTGTCAAAGGCGCCTGATTTCGCTAATTACATTTTAAATGAAGCTCGAAGTGGGTTTAAGTCTCCAGCATGAAAAATGTAAGTCAGAAATAACCGACCATAAAGTCTAAGATGGTTTTGACGAAACTGGTAGTGAAAGCATAGAAACGATACACCTCAGGCCGATCTATAAAACTGTTTGAAGGCCTTATATACTATATATAACATTATAAGAGTTCATAAACCTGCTGAGAACTATAGGTAAACAAAGAAACACAGAGAAAATAACTTTTAAATATTGAACATTTTATGAATGATGCGCAAATTGGTTGAGAATTTCATGTCTCTGTATTATAAGGGAATGAAATATTAGTTTAAAAAAATACTAAAAGGTGGTTTTTTGTTTTGTAGATGGAAGCCGAAAGTCACGGCAGTCGGCTCTTTTTTGTGTTCCGCAATGGACCCGGACTTTTATCCATCTAAGGATGGCCAACTCATATGCATCCTGCAAAATTATTTCCTGCTGCTAAAATAACAACAATACCATGAAAAAATGCATAATATCGAGCTTTAAGGCCTACTAATCTTAAGGTCTTTGAGGAAGGTTTTTCTAACAACTTTTATAGTTAACATACATATGTATCTGTCAACTTAACCGC